ACACTAAAACTTGCCTGCTTGTAGTTCATATCAAAAAGAGAGAAAGACCCACACACAAAAAGTTTCTTGTAATACATTTACCTTCACTATATTTCTACATGTTTCACATTTTACATACAAAAAATTAAAGTTGAAAAGACCAGAAAAGTATAGGAGGTAAGACTAAAAAAAATTTCAAAAAAACTAAGAATATAAAATCATGAAATACATGTTTTAAAGTGGTAAAAGAGAACAGAAAAAAAGAGAAAGATCTCAGGTGATATGACTATTTTTTCATCTGATCTCAATCCAACATACCCAAGGAAGCCATAGTCTGATGTTCAAACACTGAGACAAGCATGCAGGGTTAATACCCTGCTCAGATTCTGACACATCTGTGTAACAGCTGTTGTATGTATTGGTAACATTCTGGAAGTATTACTTGCTCTAGTTATTAGTGCCTGGCTTTTCACCATGAGACTAGAGCCTAAGCATAGAGGAGCTCTGAAACTTGGCCCAGGGTTGAGTGAATATCAACTAAGTTGCAGCTTGTCAAAGTCCAAATGAGATAACCACATTTTTATAAACTACATTCTATCATATAAAATTGCAGATGTGCATCTATAACAACCAATTTAAAAATGAACAAATCTAAAGTTTTCACAACTTATCACATAAGCATATATTTTCACAACTCTTGGATAGAGCAACAAGTATAAAAATCTCTCCAAAGCCTAAGGACCTTTTCGCATTTAATACCTTTAGGCTTTCTAAGTGTACATTCTAAAGGTGCCAAGGAGAATTTAAGACTAATTTTTCTCCCAATAAGGAATCTATTAAGTAAATAACAGAAACATTGCTATTTTCAAAGCCCCCAAAAGGTTGGGCTCTGGGGCAAGAATTTTAATTCATTTAGAATGAACATTTATGGAGGGCCTAACATGTACAGAGCACACTGATAGAACCAGAAGATTCAAACACTTAAGGATTCTAGTCCCAACCCATGGTAGGTTCACAAGGATGCCATATTGCAAAGCATACTCGGACAGGCACACTTCCATGACACAAAGTGAAATAGGGCCACAAGGTACATAATTCTGCAAGGGGGTTGATTATGTTTTTCTCCAAAACAACACATAAATTGTGTCACAACTGAAAGTGCTCTGGGGGCGTGTGACATGCCAAGCATGGTGTTAAGGATGGTGGTGGGTGGTGGCAGACAAGGAACAGGAATACAAGAATGGTGAATGACAGCTGCCAAAAGTAGTAATAACGTATGTTAGGCACTTTCCATATGCTTTCTCTAACCCTCACTACAACTTTACAACAGACATCACTCTTATTTTTACAACAAGGAAACTGAGAAAATTACTTAACATCTCTAAGCCAGAAAGCCACACAGGTAACAGTTAAGAGGCCGAGATGGGATCTGAATGTATAATGGACATCAAAACAAACACTACAAATACTCAGAAAAGAAATTGGGTGCCTGAACAGGCAAGAAAGCAGGACCTAGGCGAGAGCAGGGTGCTGGGGATGAGAGGCCTGGGTAGTCAGGGCTGCTGCTGCCTGGTGGCCCGCCCCACCCCGGGCACCTGCGCCACCACCTCCTTTTGCTCTAACATGTGATTAAGAGGCACTGAGAGTGTGCAAAAGAAGCTACTTAGGTTTTGAAATCTTCTCTGTGGAATCTTACTAACCTCATTCAATTCAATAATTTGCCTATAAAGCCTTGTAATAGTTATAAGATGTCTGATTTTCTTATCTTTGTGACAACAGCAAGAGGGTGCCACAAAACAAAATATTGAAAAAGAAGCACATAGCATATTATTTTGAAAATCTAAGCCCAAATGTAAACTGGGGAGAGGGTTCCCTTTTTCTTTTCTTTCTTTCCATCTATCTATTTCAATACTATTGGAAGATGATATAGATTGATAACTACCACCAGAAATATTAACAATCCCTTTAGGAAAACATGGGTGTTGTTTCTGTTTGTTTTGGTGCAGTTGGACATCACAGCAAAAAATTACTTTATTTTGCAAACTGGGAAAGACAGAACAAACCATTTGGGGGAGTAAGCACCCTGAAGCCAATTCTACTTGGAATTTCAGTTTAACCCACTTAATACAATTCAAATTCATTTGCATGACATGTCAGGATTGCAGTAGCAAGGAAATGAGGAGTGATATGTTTAAAAAAGGAGGCGTGAGGGCCAGCCTGTGGCTCACTTGGGAGAGTGTGGTGCTGACACCAGTAAGGGTTAAAACTGGTCATGTTTATTAAGAAAAAAAAAAAGATGCATAATTCCTGTTTAAGGGGCTCAAATTATCTTCTGGGTGACAAGGTGTATGTGCCTGAAACAATTAAGGCCCTATATACAATAGCAAATGATGGTATTAAATAACATGCTACAAATGTACAAATTCATAGAATAGTGAGAGCTATGTGTAATCAAGGAAGATTATGTCTCCACAAAATCGTACCCATGTATTTAGAGCAAATTTTTAAAAACACCAAAAAACAATAACCTCCTTTAATTGAAATGCAGCTAAATTGATTTTCTCCCATATCCACCTTCCAAAAAAAAAAAGATGATTAACAATAAGACAAGTTGATAGCAATATACTAAAAAAAATATAAATTACAAGTTCCCGAATAGATACTGAGTGGAAAGAGAGAGCAGTCTGGTTCCTTCCTATAAGAAAAGAACAGGACTGGCTGTTGAAGTTCAGTATGACAACCCCAAGGGCCTTCTACAACCTAAGCCAAAAAAATTTATCTTTCATATAACAGTTTGCAAAATTTTTAAAAATACATTTATTCTAACAAGAAAACCACTGTTTTTTTTTAAAAAATCATTCTGCAACCCTCTATTAGTTTTCCCTATTTACATTTTAATAAACAGTAAGAGTAGGGCCGGCCCGGTGGCGCACTGGATAGTGCGCCGCTTGGGAAGCGCGGCGGCGCTCCCGTCCGAGGGTTCGGATCCCAGCCACCGACCGGGTACCCCCCACCC